AGTGTTGGAATATTCATGAGCAGGAAGAGTCATGTGGTAACTCAGTCAGCCAATGTGAAGAAAGTGCTACTGAGTCTGTGCAAAAAGTTATTGAGTTAGAAGCTGGGTTTCAGTTTCAGGTCTCAGGTCTGTCTCTGCTGTAAGAAGTCTACATTGTGTTATGTTGCTGTAAAGAAGAATGTATGGTTCTCTAACAAGAATGCATCTTCCCTCCCCCCTCTTAGCTGTGGCAAGCCAAAAAATGAAGAAAGATGGCTGCAGCCAAAGTAGTTTTGTAGGTTTGACAATCAGCATGGTCAAAAGTGAAACCAAGTCTGAAATTCCCTCCAAAGAGTTACACTATTACAAAGTTAAACTTCCCACCCCAGAGCTATGCAATCAGCTACATTCCCCAATAGAATAATTTGGCAGGCATTCTAAGTAAATGCCCAACCCACTAAGTTAACTGATAGAATGAGCTTGGTTCCCAGGGAGCCAGAATTGTTTAGACTAGCAAAAATAATCTGCACCCCCTTCCTTTCTTGTGGCAAGATGGCTTCAGCCAGGTTTGTTATAGAGTTGACAGTCAGACCCCCCTAAGGAGAGAGCAATTCCTGTAAAGGAAACAAAAGTATATGTTAGGAACCACCACCTCCCGCCCCCTGGCTTCTGAGGATGCTTATCATAGAACTTTTGTATTAATCTGTCTGCCTTCACATCAGTAGCTTCTGACAAGCGGTAACTTTTCCACTGCAATAAATATTGTAATTTTCCCTTATGTAATCTAGAGCTATGGATGTGTTTTCTTATAATGAGTTTCTCTCTATATTAAAACGGGACCAGATGGTTTCTTAGGGATTGGCCTCAAGGATGTTTCTGTGACTAGTTTTAATAAACTGCAATGGAAAATGGGGTGAATCTTTCCTAATAGCTGTGGGAGCTTTAACTGAACTGTGACAGGATTTATAATTCTGACTATAGGGAAAGGACCCAATTTTTTGCTTGATAATTTTTAGTCTTAGATATTTAGTAGAAAGGTAAATCTCCTCCACATGAAATGGCTTCTGAGGAGATTGCTTCTTATTGGCTTGTTTTTTATATGTCTTAGTGGCTCAGGCTAAGCTTTTTTTATGTTCGCCCAAACATTCTGCAGAGATATCACCCACTGATCTGAAGTCTGCGAAGTGGGAGACTCCTGGGGATATTCAGGCATAGGAACAAACTTCCGACCAGTGGCTATCTTGAACAGAGTGAGCCCAGTGCTACTGTGAACTGTGTTGCTGTATGCCATTTTGGCAAAAGGCAGGAGGTCTGCCCAATTAATCTGTTGGTAGTTAACATAGCATCTGAGGTGTTGATCCATCACTGCATTTGTATGTTCAGCAGATCCATTTGTACTCAGATGAAAAAAAGATGAGAGTCCCTGCATGGATCTAATCAGTTTTACAAACTTCCTCCAGGACTTTTTTAGGGGACAACTTTCTGTCATGCCTCCGTCTGAGCCTGAATCTGCGGAGAAAAATGAACTGGAACGGGACCCTATGAGGGACAAGGGAGAGTTGTCTGTGGCTTCAGAGGAATGTGGGGAAGAGCAGGCCAAGGCAGGCCAGGGCCCTTCAGGATTGGAACAGGAGGAACAGGAGGGGCAGAATTCGGGCGATGAACAAGGGCCACCCCCACCTAGAGCATGGAGAGTGGAGAGAAGGAGGGAACAATGCAGGCAGGCTCAATTACTCGAGAGGAGAGCGTCCTGCCCTTCTCCACAAGGGACACATGGAGATTGAGATTTAAAGAGATGCTGTCGGGAGGGGCATTTGTCGGGAACAAACGCTGATTCTTGGAGTGTTGTGTATTGTTGCTGATCTCTTGTTCTGTGACTTCTGTTTGGAAACCTGGAAACTCGAACTATTGGATTGACTGACCACGTTACTTGAATGTTTAAAGACCTCAGACTGTATTTCAGATTCTCTCTTTTGAAAACTGCTCAGGCAAGCTAGGATTCAAACAGACTCATTAAATTTATGTTTTCTTCCTTGTTACCTCTATGGCCTTGAGTAATTTCTTATGCTAATCAGATTGTATTTTGAAGAGGTGTGTGCATTCTTTTGTTGGAGGCTTGCCAGCAAACATGGGAGATTTTGGGGAAAATTTGGAGCAATAAAAGAACTGTTTGAATTGCCAGCTGACTGCATTGCCTCTGTGCTGTTCTCTGGGTCATCACAGGATCTTTAGTGCCTCTAAGTTTTTATGATCAGTCCATACATCAAAAGGCACCTTGCTCCCTTCCAGGAAATGGTGCCAAGTTAGTAGCATCCATCTAACCACAAAATCCTCCTTCTCCCAAATAGCCCATCACCTCTTTGTATTTGAAAGTTTCCTTGAAGTATAGGTGCAGGGTTGTAGATCCCCCCTGATTCCTCTGTAGGAGAACAGCACTCACTGTGACATCACTTGCATCAGCTTGTATAATGAATTGTTTCTCAGGATCAGGGTATTTAAGAACTGGTTCTGCTGAAAACAGTCTTTTTAATTGCTCAAAAGCAGCCTGGCATTCCATAGTCCATTGCAAAGGTTGACAAGGTCGGGGCTTCTCCCCCCCTTTTCCTGTCTTTAATAGTTCAGTAATTGGCATAGCTACTTTTGCAAAGGAGGGGATGAACTGTCAATAGAAATTTGTGAACCCCAAAAAACTTTGAAGCTGCTTTCAGGTCCGTGAGGGCTGCCATTCTAGCACTGCCTTGACTTTGGCAGAGTTCATTTCCACTCCCTCACTAGAGATTTGTTATCCCAGGTAATTGAGGCATGTAACACCCTCCAGAATCCTCTCTGCTGGACCCCTGGGCTTGCAGCCCAATGGAGATGCAGAAGGCTCAGTTGGGATTGGGGGCTTGACATCACTGCAGATGGAGGAGTGGGTGATGTGGCACGGGCACCAGTAACAGGACTGGGACCCCAACAAGGGCATGGAAGCAACAAATAAGTCCTTCCCTTGCTTCCCACTGAGCAGTCGCATTGTGCAGCAGAAACCACTTCTCTGACTTCCAGATGGTTGAACTTCTCCTTCAGCTATTTGATCAAGGGGCTGTGGTGCTTTAAACTCTAAGGGCAAAAAATGGCTCATAAATCTCAGATTAAACATTATAATCCAACTTTGCCAGCTGGATTCAGGTGCAACATGTGATGTCATGAGTTTAAAGGACAAAATGAAACTGGCACCTGAGATACCCCTTCACCCCAATAGCACCAAGCTGAAGTTATATTCAGGGGAACTTATGGAACCATTGGGACTTTTCCAAACAGAATGCAACATACATGGGGGTATTCAAAAACTTGAATTTGAAATTGTGGAAGCTGATCAGAAACCTCTATTGTCTGGATCAACATGTGAGCATCTGGTTTTGATGCAGTTCACCATTCTGGCTGAGTTACACAATGTTGAGATTCACCCCTCAAAATCCTTGGCAAGGCCACTGACAAAACAGCAAATACTCCAAGTCTACAATGAGGTGTTTGAGGGCGCATAATATCTGTTCCAGGAGAGGTTCACTTTGAACTTGATCCTGCCATTTCAGCAGTACAATGTGCCCCATGCAATGTGCCAAGAGCCATTAAGCCACTGGCCAAAGCACAACTCGACAAGTATGAAGCTGAAGGACATATTACTTCAGTATCTGAGCCTACCAATTGGATAACATGGTTGTTGTTAGGAAGCCTGAAAAGATCAGAATCTGCATTGATCCCAATTTCCTCTCTTTCAAACCACTTTCCTTCCCATCTGGGAATGTGTCTACGCAAAATCTTAGAAACAAAGGAAAAGACTGAAGAGGTAAGGGAAGATTGAAAAAGTTTTTGTCAAAATGTTATAGGGATGATGAGAGTCTGAAAAATGCAGGTAGATATTTAGTGAAAAAGAAGTAATGTCTAAGTCAATGTATGAATGTAATGGACAAGATAAAATGCAATTGAGACATATAATAATTTGGTGTAAACTGGATTATAGCAATACTTCTTTTGCTTAGCTCAGGACTTTAAATCATTTTGTTAACTATCCCTTACTTTTCCCCCACCCCATGTTATGCATATTATTCACACAAATTGTAACAGTGTGATGGTTATTTAGATACAATTCCTTACTATTTGCACTTACCCCTTGTTTCCCCCAAAGTGGTCAAGAAAACATCCTGTAACCGATTAGAGAATTCTTCTGGGAAGCTGGTCATTCCTTCTTTCACAGCTTGGAATCCAGACAGCACTACAAAATGTTTAGGTCCAAGCCACATGGAGTATATATTTCCATATCGTTTTGCAGGCTGCCGAGTGAATCAAAGTTGAGAAATGTTACAATCAAATAAAACAGATTATTTATAGTTAATATGCCATTTACAGACTTTCCAAAATCCTCAATATTAATATTTTTCAATTTATCCCCCCCCCCTGCCAGATTCCTGCCAAGAACGTTTGTGCTTGTATTTCCTTTATTTTCCTGGGGTGAATCTTTCTCTTTGTTTCTGCTTGAAATCCACCCTCTCCTCTCTGTTTCCTCCATTGCCCCTTGCCTTGGATGACAGATGGCTTTCTCACTGCCCAATCCACCTGTGATTGACAGATATGTGAGCCACAGCTTGTCTATGAGTCACAACCTTTGAACACTACCGTTTGGATGGTCTTCAGAGGCTTTCTCAACCTCTTTGCCTTCTGCTTTTTTCAGCCATCAACTCTCAACTGACAGAACATTTTAGAGAAGAGGTCCCCAACCTTTTGGGTACCAGGGACGAGTGACATGGAGGGGTTGTGGTTTTTCATACTGCCTGCATCCCTCGGATGGGGCTTTGCTTGTTTGTGCGGTCCGGCTGCTGACATGGTGCAGACTTGTGCTGGTCCATGGACTGGAGGTTGGGGACCCCTGTTCTAGAGACTTTGGGCTGCCCTGAATCTGATGGGTTGTAACCTGAATTAAAATTGGCAACAAGAGCAGTACTGGCCATATGAACTATTGGGTAAGTTGTTAAAATAATTGATCAACTTTTTCCTTTTTTTGGTTCTATTTTTATTTTATTCAAAAGAAAAATTAAAATACAAAACTCAATAAAAAATTTAAAGAGCAAAGAAAAAATACAAAACAATCAAGACATTTTAAAAAGTGCATTTAAAAAAGAAAAAAAACAGCTAATACATATACACATATTATCCCCCATAGTTGAATACTGATTAATTCATTGGCACAATGTTATTTTCCAACCCTTTGAGAAACAGGCACTAAAAATTTTTTAACTACTAAATATTTTCAAATTATTTACCTGTCATATATTAATGACAAAATAGTTAACAAGAAGAACAGTAACAATCAAAAAGGAAAGATTAAACTTTCAAAACCCTCTGTTAATCAACTATTATTTTAATCAACTCATAGAAATGTACCATGACATCTGGTCTATCCCAAATCATCCCAAAAGTTAACAGTGATTCCGCCTGGATCAAATATCCACATTTATTTTTTAATACCATCTCTTTTCAATTTTTTTCTGGTTAAATATAATAAATTCAATATCCAAAGTTGGTCTGTCTACCCAAAAGAGTCCAGATGAATTTTTTTTCCACTTAAGTGTGATAAATCCATTCCTCAAATTGCATTCAATCCTCCTATAAAAAACAAATTTATCACTTCTCCCCTCAGGTTGGTTTGTTGTTATAAAAGAATTCAGTCTTGAACTTCATGGAGGTATATGCAATCAGCTAGTCCTTCGTCTGTACAGTCCATATTTCTTTCTAATGAATCTGCTGCTTTCAAATCACATTCCTTTTGTGAATCTAATTTATCCACAGCTACATACATTTGAATATGTTCCACCGCCATTATCATTTCATCAAACTTTTTAAAAAAGCTTTCAACTAAGGATTGCACGTTACCAAACTTTTTTCAGATATCAGCCATATTTGCTGGTCTGTAATCTGATACATTGTTGTTCTGTGTAATTTAGTAATGATAGATAAAGGAACACAGGAATGAAGCAGGGAAATATTTTCTGAATATTTTGATCCAAACTTAAAAAGAAAAATTAAACAAAAAGGTCTAAATATTTTCAAAAATTAATAAAATGCAAAATCCCTGTAGTAAGACTCCAATATAGATGTAAATCTAATGAAAATACTTCCGCTATCTTAGAACATGCTATGTTTTCTTGCAGAAAAGCAAATCTTATTCAAAGCAACCACATAAATCAAAGGGAAAGAGAGAGAGAAAAAAGAACTGATAAAGTCCAGCAAGAGGTTAAAATATATCAGCATTCAGCCAGCCAGTCAACTTTTAAACATAAAAGGCAAAGTGAAAAAAAAATAATCAAAAAATGAAATTAAAACCCAGGAATGCTTAAGAAAACTAACTAGTGAAAGGAGGATGATGTCTTTCTGACGGCATCCACAGGGACCTGAAATCTTCACAACTCCCCTTCCAAGGAGAGTCCATGGCTGTCCAAAAGCTGCCTTGGGTCATTGTTAAGTGGTCTCATTCCCAGACAATCAGCTTTGTCAGCAAAATCAGCAGATTGTTGGCAGGAAAACGAAAAATTCCTACCATTCAGCAGCCATCTTGAGGAGGAAATACTTCCTTTTATTTGACTCATGCAGATGGAAATAGATGTTAGTCTAAAACAAAGATCCCTAGAGCTTCTGAAATCATTATAGAATTGCAAAATTAGAAGGGGCCATTAAGGCTATCCAGTTCCACCTATTGTCCACCACAGGAATATAGAATAAAGCATCTTCAACAGAAGAATGTCTAGCTTCATTTAAGCAGAATGAAGGAGAAACCATCCTTCTATCTGAACAATTGGTTCCATTATCAAACATTTCTTTGTAAGACTGAACTATAATCTGCCCCCTAAAAACTCAGCCCCATTTATTTCACGTCCTGCTCTGTGAAACGGTGGTGAGCCGGTCTTGGCTTGAATATTCTGGCATGATGTGGAAAATAATTCATCAAGAGTCATCACTATATTTGATTAATTAAATTCCTCATCATGCAAGAATATTTTACTAGGTTAATACATTTTTTATAGTTATGGTATAGAGAAAATAATTGAGAATTATTTTATACATTGTTGGTTAATTATTTAGAATGAAATACCTCATGAAAATAATCTTCATGAAGCCGAATCCCAGAAGCCCACAAGGACCCAATGAGAGGTAGAGCCAAAGGACCAGGAGGCAAATGTCTTCGGGTCCAAAGTTGTCTCAGGAAGAAGAGAATCAGCAGAGCAAGCAGCAAAACAAACAAAATTGTCCCTACAGCCATCGTTGTCCAGCTGGTTCCTTTTTTTTTTTTTTTTTGATGCTCACTAGTGGATCTGGAGATGGTTATATCCCTTTTGGCTGATGCTTTTTTCTTCCCGTTTTATATACTTCGTTGATGGGAAACAAATAGCAACATGTATTTTGATGCTGTATCTCATGTGTGCTGGATATTATGTAGTCCAGGATTATGTCTCATACATACCCTTGCAAGCCCATCATCAGGACATTATCATGGGAAAAAAACCCTCATTCAACTTTGCTTACAAATAAGGGAAAGTCTTCGTGAAGGCTTCACCTCTGGGGCTCTGCAGTCTTTTGCAACTAAAATAAATGTAACCGTAGCGTTAATAAAGAGGGCTGTTACAATAGATTCTGCAACAACTGTTATTAATTGAAATATGTCCTTAATCCAAGCATCAAAATGTAGGTAGAGAGTTATAGTCATTTAGAAATACCTAAAAACAATGTCACCACTCAACTGCCTAACCCATTAGCACATGTGAATATGATCCATGCCAAAGTTTGAGCAGGGAAAATTACCCAACTCTCCCAAACCTAATAGAGACCACATGGCTTGAATAGGACCTAGGCATCCTTTATGCCAGTGGTGGCGAACCTATGGCACGGGTGCCAGAGGCAGCACTCAGAGCCCTCTCTGTGGGCACGTGCGCCATCACCCCAGTCCTAGGCCTTCAGCTGGGTTTTATAAAACCTTTTTGCTTTAGGCCTCCACTGCCGTGTGCAACTTCTTGCGGGGAAAAAAAAGATCTTGCAAACTTGGAATTGATTGATTGAACTTTTTCGTCCCACCCAGTCTGCCATTACCACTGCAGCCACGCCCACCCAATGGGCCACACCAAGCCAATGGGCCACACCCACCCGGCACCCGACGATGCATAAGTGGGTTTTGGGTTGCAGTTTGGGCATTTGGTCTCTAAAAGGTTCGCCATCACTGCTTTATGCTATTGTGTTTTGCTTTATGGTCCGATATTTTTATTATCCTTTTTATTCCTTACAACTATATTACTGATTGCCATGATGTATCTCATTCTGAGCACAGTCTGAAACTTTTGAAGTTTTTTTGAAGCTCACATCTGCCCTTCTTCCTAAGCTCCAGATGTTTTCTTTTTCTCATTGGCTACATAGCAGAACTCAGAATGACTCGTGTTTGATTTGATTCCTAGAGTCATTCCATTATTATCCCTCCATAGGATCACCTTTATGGTAATTGGGTGCCAGGTCATGCCTCAAGGACAAGGATCCCTCAGTTCTCTCCTTGAATCACCTTCTTGCTTGTTGTTAATTTACTTATTTACTCAGTGTACTAAGTATTACAGTATTGCAAGTTGACTCTGCCCACTGCCAGCAGTTTGATCCTGAGTGGCTCAAGGTTGACTCAGCCTTCCATCTTTCAAGGTCAGTAACATAAGGACCCAGATTGTTGGGGGTAATATGCTGACTCTGTGAACTGCTTAGAGAGGGCTTTAAAGCACTGTGAAGTGGTATATAAGTCTAAGTGATAATGCTATTGCTATTCACCAAAGTGACTCTTGGTAATATGCAATATGTGACATTCTTTAGCTAACTGCTTTTGCCCCTACCCCAGTCCTTGCCATTCATTTAAAAATTCACCTTCTATTTACAGTAAGTGAAATATGATCAGAGGTAAGTGAATCAATGAGCTAATATTTTGTTAAGAAAATACCAGCACTGGAGACTTCCGGTGACGTCGTTGGTCCTAGACCCTGGGACACGAACTCTCCGTGCCCAGGGTCCGAGTTTCTGTTGCTGGCGGGCCCATTAAGGCTGAATGCCAACCTGGAGGGGTGGCCACCGAGAGGTGAATTCTTTGAGGAAAGGGAGCCGGCAGTAGCCGGCTCTCCGAACTCAAAATAGCCTCTGGAACCGGCGAGAGAAAGGCGGAGAGCTTTGCGTTTGCCGCCATCTTCAGCAGATCATCGGAGACAGGAGTCAGCTGTTTAAGGAAACAAGCAACTGATCCAGGTGAGATGATATTAGTTTTTGCTGCAAATCAGACCCTTTAGAAAATTGCCTGCCTTTAGCGATAAGCTGGAAGCCTAAGGGGAGGAGGAGGGGGGATTTTTGCTTCTCCCCCCTCCCAAAAAGCGGCGGTTTCAGCATTTTAAAACTTTTGAAAAGTTTTTGAACTGAAGCTATATTGAAGGAACCAGCTTGTTTTATCATAGAGGGGAAGAAAGATTTATTATTATCTTATTTGGGAAAAGCCACCTTAATTGCTCTTTTTTAAGAATTTTTTTGAATTTGTTTTATTTATTTATTTATTTATTTATTTAATTACATTTATATCCCGCCCTTCTCCTTGCGGACTCAGGGCGGCTAACAATTAGATGAAATACAAAAATACAATACACCTTTAAAATTAATTAAAAAGAAATATTTAAACTAATCTGATTAAAAGTAATTAAAACCCCTTTAAAATCCCTTAGGCCAGTCCCGCAAGCTGGAACAACCATGTCTTGAGGGCGCAGCGGAAGGAAGGGAGATCAGGGATCACCCTGATCTCTGGGGGCAGTTCGTTCCAGAGGGTGGGAGCTCCCACAGAGAAGGCCCTCCCCCTTGGGGTCGCCAGCCGGCACTGTCTGGCTGACGGCACCCTGAGGAGACCCACTCTGTGGGAGCGTACAGGTCGGTGGGAGGTA